AGTATCGGCATGATGGGCTGCTGCGGCAAGTCACGGCGGTGTGCCACGCACTGTTGCAGCGTGAGCACTGAATGATGTCCCCGCTGTAGGCTCTAGGCTACTGCTTTCGTAGGCGGGTGCTAAAGGGTCTCTGCGCCACGACTGGGGCGGCTTTAGGTGATGGCTCCTCGAAATGGGAGGCTTCTGGTGCTGGGGCCACGATAGGGGCGGCTTCTGGTGCTGGGGCCACGATGGGGGCGGCTTCTGGTGCTGGCATCTCTCGGATAGGTGAGGGGGCCCATCGATGGGAGCGCCTTTCTCTGATGCTGGTTGAGAAGCTGTGGCAATGTTTTTAGGTGTGGCCGACATCTTCTTTGACTTAAGTGCGGGTGCTTGAGCCTGTTTTTTCCCATGATGGAAAAAATGCTGTCAGTGGCGATATATATATATATATATCTCGAAAGCTAGATCCCTGAAGGGTCGGCAAGACTTGTTGAGTATCCTGAAAAGGACACCAAGTGTGCTTTCCCAACAGTTCACAAGACAATTGTTTTGCTAAGTGCTTACTCAGGCTGCTAACGACCCAAACGCAGCCGACCCCTATAGCTTAGTCGAGACAGACTCAGCCGAATATCAAGCGAATCGGTGTCAAGTATCTAGATATCGAGAATCAGACAACGAATGGATAGTTAGCGGGCGACGAGACGAGACACAAGCTGCTTATCGGGCTGTTGAGCGAGCGAGTGATGTACTTCCATACCCAAGGAGTCATTTATATCCTATGCCCATCTTCGTGTCGGTCGACCCGTGCCTCTCCTTCCTGGTACCATGCCTTCTGCTATAATTTTGTCCAATCCGTCGTGGCGCTTGATATGACCAAAATATTTTAGCTTCCCAGACAGGATGCTGTTTATTAGCCAATCTTCCTTGATGTTAAGATATTTCAAGATGTCAGTATTTCTCCTCTTCTTTGTCCAAGACATTCTGAGAATCTTTCTGTAGCATTTCAGCTCAAAAGCCCCTAATCTCTTTCTTAAGGACTGAGAGATAGTCCACGACTCACATCCGTATGTAGCCACAGGGAAGATGCATGCTCTCAAAATTATAATTTTAATCTCGTTGCTGGTGCTTAACCATAGACTGTTAAGGCTGTTCAATCTTTCCATTGCTATGGCCATCCTCCTTTTAATTTCTGTCAAACAGTTTTTATAATGCTAGATAGTAGTGAAAAACAAAATGAATCTTTTTCTTGCTGAAATGCTTGAACCTCACCGTCGAGTTGCTATGCACCAATTTATTGCCTGGCATATTTCGCTGTATCCCATCAGGCACGTTACGACAGAATTGAATCAACATAAATAAATTGATGTATGGCAACTCGGCAGTGTGGTTTATGTATTTCAGCAAGAAGAAAGATTCAGTTTGTGCCTAGTTATATGTTGGTTCAGCTCTGTAGAAATGTACCTGACGAGATACAGCGACATATATTTTATATAAAAAAAAAAAAGTTTCCTATCTACGATCCTCTCAACTTTCTTTCACACAATGAATGTCCTATCCCCCTGCCCCCCCCCTCCCCTCACCCCCTTTTTCCATCACGGTAAAGTACACTAAAGTCCTGTTTAGACCCCAGTGATGCAGTAGGTAAATGAGGCTAGATCCATATTATATAAAACAACCCCACTCGACGGTGATGTGGTCAACATCAAGTCAGCTGCCTTTACTTCCCATGATTTTACTGTAAAGTGGGTCGACCTGGGAGCCAATGTCCTGTCTGACAAAAATTCGGTGCGTTGCGGATTTGAACCCACTATCTTCGGATCCGCAGGCGGGCGTCTAGCCGCTACACCACAGCGACCTCCCCCCCGCCCTGTCCACCCAACACAGTAATTTATTAAAAATTCTTGTAACTATCATCTGTTATAAAACAAAAGAGCATTTTATGTATGTAATTTGGTGAAGTGATATCCATTCGTCTCAGCAGCCCACATCTGACACAAGTTTGAGGATCCCTGTCAGAGAAGTCACTCTCAAAGACAGATGTTTGTAACTGACGGAACCAGGGATAGGTCAAGACCGTCTCCATCTGACGTCACCAGACCGGGTTAAAGATACGTTAAAGTATCGTTAGCCCGGTTTGGTGACGTCAGTAGTATGCCCGTCAGGTGGAAAAGGTCTTGGATAAATCCAATGTGCCAACCGGGAAGTACTGCCATAACTTTGATGTAGAAACCCAGGCTATCAATTTGGCAACAGAGAAACTGATAAATGCCAACCATAGCTCAAATCTTCTTCTTCTTAAAGTCCGTGCCGTGTGGAGTTGGTAGTCACGTATATCCACAACCTTCTGTCTCGTGTACTTTCAATCAACTCTGCTACAGATGATCCTCCGAGCCATGATGTCAATCTGTCCAGCATCTTTTCTCTTGGTCTCTCCTCTACCCTCTAACTTTCCTTCTAAGATGGACTCCAGTTTTCTCCTTTTCATCACATGACCAAATAATTTAGACTGTCTTGGCTCAAAGTCTGTTGTAATGTTGGCAGATGGGAAAAAAATCCGTACTTGAAGCACTCCACTGCCGGATAACTACGAGAATTGCAAACACAGCTGACAAAACTCAACTGTCAGCGAAGACTCTCAATGCGGTGGATACCGTCCAGTTGTGGAGTGCCAGGAAATGAGAAAGCTCATCAATTGGCAGGACA